TTGGCACGAGTTATTTGAAAATTATTTTCGTTAAACTCATTTCATATTTCTCCAATAAGATAATTTTGTACGTGGATCAATAATTTTTTCATACTTTTTAATCATACACTCTCCCAAAAAATTATTTTCACTTCGGATATTCTCCATGAAATGAACACTTCAGCTCTAGAAATATTAAGCTAAGTATTGACGCGAAGTTCTCACCTTAGGTTTTAATCAATTTAATTTTTTTTTTTAAATCTCGTAGATTTCATGGATTTAAATAAAATCCACATATTCTATAAGATTGTAATAGAATTCTATATTAATAATTTAATGGGTTGTGGGTTGTAAGATTTTAATAGAAATATAGAAAATTTATAAACTTTGTCATTTAAAATAACTAATTTCATTAATCTAAAATATCATACATTTAAATATCAACAAATAAAAATTTCATTGATCTAAAAATTAAAATAAATAATTATCAACAAATTAAAAATCAGTTTAATATGAAAAAAAATTACAATTTAGAAAGTCAAGCAAATAAATATCAATAAATTAAAAATCAATTTAATCAAGAATAAAAATTATTTTCTATATAATGTTAAGTGTTACGTACAAAATATGCACTATTATTTTTTTAATGCAAAATATGCACTCAAATTCTAGGATTAAATATATTTTGATTAATTGAAAGAGTTTTTAAAAGAAGATTGGAATAATTAATTTTTTATTATTAGTTTTCCATAATAAATATTTGATTCCAAATTCTTATTAAAACGAGAACCAAATTCTACCTTTCTATTTTTCTCCAGTAATAATGATAATTGAAAATGAGATATTTTTATTAATATTTATTTTTTTTATTTTTATGTATATTAATTTTTAAATTTCATATTTTATGGGATTGTAATCATTGAAATATGAGGGATCATGCTAGACTTTTTAATCGGTTCTGAATATGTATTTTTATAGGCTTGAAATTCGTTAACAGTGTGAGGCTATAGCATATTTCGTAAGTAATTAAATTAAGGGGAAAAAAGTCACATTTCAAGTATTATGTTTACCCCAATTTAAAAATCAAGTAAATAATTTGAAAGTTCAAAAATAGGTATGTATTTAATTAATTAAAATTATTTATTAAATAAAGTTAATAAATTCATAGTTACATGAATAATGGTCACAGATTTATAATTATAGACAACGGATTTATTTACTGGTCACATATAATCAAATTACTTGCTCACATATTATTTCGTGGTCATAAAACCTAAAAAGTCAAGTCATATGAGTAGGAGAATCAATCGGCACTCAGACGACTCCAATCAAAAAATTTGTAAGTCACAGAATATTCAAATTACAGTTCACGTTTTATCTATGGGTCACATACGTTACAGTTTATTGGTCAGAAATAAAAAAAAAAATTAGGTTACATATTATTTCGAGTCACATTTTATTTTGTGATCATAAATCAAAAATTGTAGGTCACATATTATTTCGAGATCACAGAACATTCAAATTATGGGTCACATTTTATCTATGGATCACATACGTGATACGTCACATTTTATTGGTCACAAATTATTTTTTAGTCATTAACGCTTAATATTTGATCACAAGTCAGCCAAATAGTTGGTCACAGATGCCTAATTGTTGGTCACAGACACCCCATTCGTCACCGTGATCGCCATCGCAACAACCATTACTACCATCATCAACAACAACACAATAATAGTTAGACACCACCGTATCCAGAAACACCATCACCTCACCAACACGAGCATCACTGCCTCTTGCAACTACCATCATGAGCACCATAGTGTCGTAACACCACCACACTACCACTGCACAACGCACCACCCAGAGCACACCACCACATGACCATTTCCTTTATATTCATTTACAATACACCTAACCACCACCGAAGAATCCATAAACCCGTCATCACCATCTCAAAAACACAACAAAACATGTCAAAAAATCACACTATCATCACCAAATTCAACAACCACCATAGCCGCCACCACAAAACCTCCACCACACAAACACCATCACCACACAAGACATCGTCCAAATTTTCAAATTCGCCCCTTCATTACAGCCGCCACCACAAATT